GCAGCTAGGGAGCCTCAAGGTATTTTCACAAGCCTAAACCTGTATTGGCCTTGTGACCACGCTGATTTTAAGAACCTTGAATCTCCCGTCAACCCCCCTACATTCTTCTTGCTCCATTGGGAAGCTGGCTGATTCCTGATGGTCTGAGCTAGCTGGCTGTAAAATCCACTCCTGGGTTGCCACAGCTAGGAACCAGGTCTGCTGATTGCAAGTCGTAGGTAGTAAAGGGGCAACAGATGGAGTTGCTGAAGGTTTCGGGATCCTCTCTGGTAGTTCACAAGCTGAGCGAGTAAAAGCGAGAAGGAAATTCCGGACTCAGAATTCCATCTTTCAGAGATGCAGGCCGCACACCTCGTCAGGGCCCGCAGAGGCGTGGCAAAAGCAGAGCTTCCAAGCAGCCCTAAGCTACGCCTTCTCCAATCGCTAAGCATGAGAAAGGAGAAGGCGTGGGTGGGTTTAGAGGCGGACCAGGGCGGGGAAGTAGGCGGAGCCTGGGTACGACTCCACCAGGCCCTCCTGGCTCTGAGCCTGCAGGGTTGTGACTAGCGCAGCTCTAGGTCCCTTCCTCCTCTGCCCTCCTTCGCCTCCTCCGCCGCCTTGTCTCTCACGCCTCCGAGCAGGCCGCGGTTACCGGGTTTGCGGTTACCGGGCTCAAAGCACTGCCGCTCCAGCGTCTCGGTGTTCCTGCTCCTGTGAGATGACGCTCAAGTCCAGCGAAGGCGAGGGTGGGAACAGCATGCGCACCGCGCTCTCGGACCTCTACCTGGAGCACTTGCTACAAAAGCGCAACCGACCTGAGGTTAGCAGGACCCCTGGGGTCCTCGGGGTTTGGGTTGGGTCTCTGCTCCAGGCCTTTCCATCTACTCCTGGATTTGTCCAATCTGTGGCCTTGTTCCCAGGCGGTCTGACCCCGGACGGCCTGATCTTGAGTGTCCTATCCCCAGGGTGGAGGCCTTAGTTTTGGGCCAGGTTCATGCAGAGATCTGGGTGTGGTGGATAGTTGCCTGGGGCAGCCCTACT